TTTCGTTTTGATTAAGAATACGCCTAAGGCCTTGAAGTTTTCTAATTTATTTTGTGGGTTTAGTATTGCTTCTAGAGTGAGAGCCTTGTTTATATTGAGGGTGGTTTGTAATGCGGTTCGATGTGTTTGGTAGTGTGTGCAGTGGATGAGTGCGTGTTCTGGGTTTTTCTAGTTGTTTGCAGTGTGGGCAGTTACCTGTAGTGTGTTTTTTTTTTAAATTTAGGTGGTCATTTAGGTTGGTGTGTCCTTTTTGGGAGTTTAGTGATTACTCTGTCGATTTTTTTTTGATGGATGGAGAATTTTCGGTTTGGTTAGTGGTTCGCTGAGCACTTTTTTGATTTGGCTATTTGAGTTTAGATATAGGTTATGCCATTTTTGTGATTTTTTGCTTGTTTACACTTTTAATTTCTGATTTTGAGATGGGTAAGTTTAAGCTTATTTCTGGGATTTTGAGGGATAGTTTAGCTGCTTTATCGGCGTTTTCATTACCGTATATTCCTACGTGGGCGGGTATCCACAAGAAGGTTATTTGTTTGCCTGCCTTAGTTAGGTCGTTGGAGCTTTTAAGTATTTGATTTATTAATTTAGGTCGGTTTTTGGTATTTTTGTTTTGGAGGGCTTGCAGTCCACTTAGGGAGTCGGTAAGTATTACGATTTTTTTGTGGTTTTTGGATTCTTGATTATGGAGGGCTGAGGCCATGCCCATTAGTTCTGCCGTGAATATTGATTGGTTGTTTGGGAGTCGGAAGGATTGTGTGGTTTTAGTTGGTTGTGTGGTTATGGACTCCGAAACCTGTGTGTTTGGAGGTCGGATCTGAGGATCCGTCCGTGTAAATGTGACACCAATTTGGCCAATTTTCGTGTATGTATGCTAGTGTGGTAGTTTTAGCTATGTTTGGGTCGGTTTGTTTATTTATTTGGCTAGCTAGTGTTGTGTCTATTTTGGGTATTTGAAGTTTAGGGGTGAAGATATTTGATCGTTTGCAGTTTTGTTTAAGATTTTTAATTTGGTGTTCATTTAGGTAGTTTGTTATTCTTTGGGATATTGGGGTAAGTAAGGGGTGTTTACGAGCTAGAGCTTGGATTATTGGGCTGATGTTTTGGTTTATTAAGTTTTGGATGAGAGGGTTTGATTGGGACGCGGCCCAGAAATTTGAGCTTAGCTGTTCCCTGCGTAGACTTAGTGGCATTTCTCCTGTTAAGGCCTGAAGTGAGGTGTTAGGAGGTGCCATGTTGGGTGCGTGTAATTAGTTTGAGAGCCTGATATTGTATTGAGTCAAGTTTTTTAGATAGAGAGTTGTTTAGGTCGTTGTATATGGCGCAGCCGTAGTCTAGTTTTGATCTAATTAGTGATATGTAGAGAGGGAGGAGGGTATCTTTGGAGGCTCCCCAGTTAGAGCCAGTTAGGCATCTTAGGGTGTTTAGGTCTTTACTGCATTTAGTTGTTAGGTTTTGGATGTGAGCATCCCAGGTGAGATGTTCATCGAAAAAAAGTCCTAAGAATTTGGTTTGTTTTTGAAATTTGATTGTTTGATTGTTTAGCTGGAGGATGGGGGAGGCGGGTTTCATGTTTTTATGTTTGAATACTATTCCTGTTGTTTTTTCTGAGTTAAGGGAGAAGCCCCATTTGTCAGCCCATTGTTGTATTTTATTAAGAGATTTTTGGAGTAAATTTTGGGCCATTTTCATGCTTTTAGTGCGGATCCAGATGGCTCCATCATCCGCGAATTTTGATGTGTTTACTTTAGGGGATAGGCCCTCGAAAAGATCGTTTATCATTATATTGAAGAGGGTGGGGCTGAGGATACTGCCCTGTGGAGTGCCATTTTCTAGGGGACATTGGTCCGATAGAGTTTGGTCTATACCCACGGTTATTTTACGATTGTTTAGGAAGCTCTGGATGTAGTTTATTATCTGACCTTTGAGTCCTATTTTTTCTAGTTTTTGTATTAGCCCATCGTGCCATACCATGTCGAAAGCTTTAGAGAAGTCTAAGAAGATGCCTGTGGTATATTGTTTATTTAGTTGTCCTGTCTTAATATCTTGTTCTAGTCGGGCGAGGTTATCTAGGGTTGAGCGGCCAGGAGTGAAACCGCTTTGATCTGGGTTTATGATGTTATTTTGTGTTAAGTAATGTTGTAATCTATTTTTAGCCATTGATTCCATTACTTTACATAAGTTTGAAGTTAGGGATATTGGTCTATATGAGTTAGCTTGATTAGCTGGTTTATTAGGTTTAGGGATTGGTATGACTAGGGCCTGTCTCCAGGGAGAGGGAACCTGTCCGTTTAGGTAGATGAGATTGTATAGTTTGAGTAGTGCATGGAGTAGTTTTAGGGGGAGTTTTTTAATTATTTGGTAAGAAGTTAGGTCTAATCCTGGGGCTGTGCCCTTTTTCCTGTTTTGGATTACGTAGAGGAGCTCCTCCATTGTGTAGGGTTGATTTATTTCTAGATTGTTATTGTTTGGTTCTTTTGTGAGTTTGTTTTCTGTTTTAAGTTTATCTTGGATTTTTTGACTGAAGTTGGTGTTACTGCTAACGGCAGAAAAGTGGTTGGCGAGATTATTTGCTTTTGGGCGGGGTTGGTTGAGTTGTCAATGTTAGGTGTGTTTTTTTATGTCGTTTTAAGCCTCTAATGGCGTGGATTTTGCGCCAGACCATTCTGGCATCTGTACGGTTATTTATACCTTCACAAAAAAAATTCCAGTCTCTACTTTTGGCTATTTGGACTAGTTTTTGAACCTGGTGGTTTAGTTCGTGGGCTATGTTTAAATATTTGTAGTCGCGTTTTCCTTTATTGAAGGCTGATTTACGTTTTCGTCTAGTTTGTTCTATTTCTACATTCCACCATGGTACCGTCGGTTTGCCTGTCTGTTGGAATTTTGGTTCTTGGTTTTCTGTTTGGATTGGTACGTCTGTATTTCCTATGGTTATGACTGCAATATGAGACACTAAAGTGTTATATAGGTAGATATGATATTATAACTAGTCTATAGATGTAAAGTATGTGTTGTAATTTTAGAAGCGCTTTGACAGTTATTTAAACGTGTCGTGTCAGTCCTATGACATTCGCGAATATCCACTTGCAGAAAACATCCTGTGTTGGTTTAACATGAATTAGTAAAGGTTAATTAGGTATGCCAAACACGTTAATTAATGAAAGAAGAGTAGTCAAAACACTGTCATTTCGAATTCCTGCCCAGGACATCACACCCCTACACGCTAAGGTCGGTGAGAAAACTTCTCATCAAAGAAAAGACACAGTCAAGACACTGACTTTTCGGTATGAATTCTCGGTATGTAGCTATAATTATCAGTTTATTACATTACTGAAGATACATTTTGATTCAAACTCAATGAAATGAGCAAAACTATCCGTTTCTGGACATTTGAGATCTGCCTAGATATGCACGTTTCGTTTTATTATTCTGCAATCGATTTTTAGTATTACCCGCTGGCCCGGCCCGGCCGGACTTTTCTTGGCCCGACTTTTAGGCAATCCCCCAAGGCTCGCTAAATAAAATGTTTATTCCTAATGCAGGATATTTACCATCCCCAAACACACTCGCGTGATAACCTCTTTTGATCTGTACGAACAGGTGATAAATATTTTAGGTGACTGAAATAGCCACCTGTTTCAAAACGATACATATTCATATATTATAGTACCAAAAGAACATTCATATTTAATATTGTTAAAGCATTTTCCTCCACTGGTTATGTTTAAGTGTTGTTACGATAATAATAACTCAATTAAAGACAATGAAAATACGTGGCCTTATGTTTCCTGTCATTCATGTTTAATTTACCATGTGCATGTTAACTTTTCACAATTGGTATGCTAGCTAGATTAAGTTTAGACAGCATTACAACAATACTTTAGTACCCATGTTTCCATCTGTTAATAATAAAGTATGTAATTGGCTGAAATCAAGATTCAAGGTCATTATTTAAAGCAGAAGCAGTATTTTATTCAGGTGTCTACTTTAAACGCAATTGGTACTAATAAACGGACAGAATATAAACTCACACATAGCACTTGTTACTTATGACCTACATTGGCACCAGACATTGGCGCAGGCCTCCGTTCAATAGGCCGAGGAGTTTTCTGAGATGCTTTCTCGGCTCTCTCCGTGGACGTTCGGGTGCTAACGAACGCTATGTCAACTTCCGCCGGCAGAGGGCGCGGTTTTCAAAAAGGGGTTGCAGACTGATTTAAGTAGTGTTGAACTGTTGAACATTGTGTATGTAAAGTATTATTGTTAATAATAAAGATAAACTAAGTTGTATATGTTATATCTTCTTATCCACAAGTTCCCACCGAAGAGTTAGGTTAGGTTATTTGTTGTTTAACGCCGCACTCAGGACTATTCAAGCTAAATGACGGCGGTCTGTAAATAATCGAGTCTGGACCAGACAATCCAGTGATTGACATCATGAGCATCGATCCACGCAATTGGGATACGATGACATGCATCAACCAAGTCAGCGAGTCTGACTACCCGATCCCGTTAGTCGCCTCTTACAACAAGCATAGTCGTCTTTTACGGCAAGTAAGGGTTGCTGAAGACCTATTCTACGCCAATCTTCACGGATCCCACCGAACAGTGATTGCGTATCATATGACTTGACAAAATATCTTATTCCCTTAGCAATCCATATTTATTTCATTTCAGTATGTTCTGGACAGTTATCAAGGTGAATAAATTAAATACATCGGATGAGACATATCACGATGTTGTCAAAACGGCAGGAAAAACGTCTCATAAATCACGTCAAAATAATTTATTACCCATGGGGGTTACAAATAACCGAGTTATTAAATAACGTATGTGTACTGGTGCAATATCGTTCACACACTCTGGATTATGTTTGCGTCATCCGGACGGCATTGTTGGCGTAATTCCAATCTTATTCTGACACTAGAAATGACGTCATAGCTGAAGACGTCATTCAACGGGAGTCAACAAACAAAACAACAAACCAATACGCCAACAAATTACAATGTTTTAGATTTATTTAAGAAAACACAAACGCCTATGAAAATGTACGAATTTACCTGTTTCTAAATGCAGCTAAAACAATTGGGTTTTACAAGTCTTCCCATAAATATAATCACTAATGTGTAGGTATTAAACTTTACCATTGAGTGCATGTATCTGTAACAAGTTCTTCCTTGTCAAAATGTAATGTTCACAGGCCCCGCATTTGTCCAAATGGCCCATTTTTGTCCCTACTCTTCAGTATGCGCCGAGGCGGCGCTAGAAAGCTAGCACAGCATGCGTTTCATTGACTTGGAAATATTCGGAGACACTCGCTAGCGCATCGGCACCCAACGGCTTATTGAACGCACCTACGGTCTAACTTCACTAGCTTTAAAACAGGTAGGTGGGGGGAAATGGTGCACATGTGTTCAAGGTTACTGCACTGCGACATGTGTGGTGTGTGTGTGCCATTCTATAGTACTAACTCACTGAGATACCCCACTAACACACAGTATACTGACTGACACAGTATACTAAACAATCCTTGATTACCCCACTAATGTCGAGCTACAGGAAAGGTTACAAGAACAATCTTTTCACTTCTGGTATGTCACGACCAGGAATCGAACCACTGACCTTCCTCTCTCTCCAGGCAGACACTCTATCCACGGTCAGCTTTGAACAGGAAAATCCAAGGCATCTGGAGCAAAGTTGTATTTTCTTCCAGTTTTATGCCATCACTTGAGCCTTGGTACTTGCATGTTGTTTGAGGTTGTAGTACGTATGCCTTTGCCTGAACCAAAGGTAATGGCATCAGGTTGAATATGCATGATGGTGTTCATAATTTCTGAGGCCTTGAGGAAAATGCGCTGAACGGGCTGCTTCTGTTTTTGCAAGATGTTGCAAATGCTTTCTCGAATAAGTCTGACATAATAGTTTTTAGAAACGGTGGTTACTTACGCGTTGTAGAAAGTGGCTGTATTCAGGAGTTGAAATGAAAACTGTAACCTATCATAAATATCTAGGTATTATTTTCTCAGAGATAAGTGTGGTCAAGCGCTTGTGAAACCCTATCTATTCAACCCAGAAAGGCTAGCATGCCAGATTGCGTGGTCAGAAAGGCGAAAACAAAAAGTTTTAGAAAATAATGAAAGAAATATGCAGTGCAATCCAAAAATACCATGTACAGGAGATTTTTTAATAATAATATTCACGAAAAAAAAAATCTTTTCTAAAAATGCAAATTAATGTATTAATTTATCCCAAGGTTGTAACCCTGATCACTTGGTGGGTATTTGGAAGGAACGACGCCGAGAATGAGGCCGTGTGTATTACATTGTTGAATTCAACTGCCAAGGAAGATTGTTGAGGCATTGGCATTATGACAGATGTTCGTCATGGATGGAAAGAAAAATGTTCATGAGAGAAACATTGTTGCTTTGAGCTGCGAGACAAAACACGTGTTAATGCCGAAGTAGCCAGCGACCTGAATGTAAGCTTGATGAAAATAATGTTGAAACCCATTTTCACGCACATGACAAAATTAATGTGAACAAATATTTATCTGAACATCGTTTCGAAGTCTGTGAGGCTGTCCGTATTTTAATATTTTTATCATCATTCCGACGTGAAATAATATAATGTCTTCATGTCTCAATTTTGCTAAAAGCAGAGCCCATTGTACGATTCCCACTATATTATAGGAATGTGTTTATGAATCACTAATAGATATGATACCAGGTGTTCGCGAAATAAGCGTTATCCTACCCTCACGATGGCACCCGTCACAAACACACACAAACATGATAATGAAAGGCAGATACTTAAAATAATTTAACATCACTACTCCCAGGAAAAGTACACTAGAATTCACTCTGTATGAAAACACTTCATCGAATACGGAAATAGTTCGTGAACTGTGGACTTCATTTTTATTATCCACGTATTATACATATATACTACTCAAAAGAAGTTAAGGAACCCACAATTCTTACATGTGACTATCGAGTTAATCTGTCATGGCATGAGAGATTATCCGTAGCCATTTGAAAGAATTGGATGTCCCTTAACCTTTTTTGAGTAGTATATAATGATCATTCTCTTTCTCGGAAGAATAGCTTTGACATGTACTGAAGTCTGAAGTTTTTCATGTCACTAGGCAAGTGCGAAGTCAGGACTGAGAAATTGCAAATAACATGTGAACTGACTGAACATAATAGATTTGCAAGTTAGACTCATTGACACATTAACTTTGTGGCTTCTGATGTCTGTTCTGGGGAGCATATGTTACCGTTGAGCTTCCCTCAATGCCTGCCCTGTTTCCATATGGCCATTCAAGGTGTGAGTCTGGTACATAGTATTGCTTAACTTCCTTAAAGAACTCTCCATCAATGAAGTAAGGATTCTCATCATCATCATTCCCAACAACATTGGACTCATCCTTGCCCATGAAGCCAGTGTGTCCCATGAGGTTGGTCCTACAACGTGTACGAGGAGATGGAGGTCTGTAGCCAGGTAAGCCTGCTGGACTAGGCATTTGGTATCCAAACTGAGGAGGAGCCATTCCCTGAGGAGGGGGGTAAGGTGGATGGTGGGGTGAGGCCATGTGAGGTCCAGGTGTAGACAGACTGAAGTAGTTGTACTTCTGGCTCAAGTTAAGTTGGGACTGTAAACGTGAATTGTTCTTTGCTGGAAAAACATGTCGCATAGGAGGCCGATATAGAAAAATTATGAGAAGTATTTCAGTCTAGTTTGTTTGTTCTTTTACGCCACACTCAGCAATATTCCAGCTATATAATGGCAACCTGTAAGTAATCGCTTCTGAATCAGACAATCCAGTGACCAATATTGTGAGCAACAATCCATGCACACAAACAACTGAGTCACCTAATTTGACCACCCAAGTCAACCAGCATTGGTTGCTGGGGACCTTTTCTAACCCGGAATCCCCATGGGTTTCAGTCTAGCAAAGACATCTGACCGGTAAATATCCCCAAGGTTCAGAGAGTGACTGACCAGGTGTTAGCCTGCCTCACCAAGGTAAACCAGCAATGAAGATCACGAGCAACAGTCTACATCAATAGTGCATTGACTACACAAGAAGCACAGGATACTGCTTACCTATAATACTTGTTAGCAAAGCATTATGTCTTAAGTCCCTCTTAAGTGGACAGTGAGAGAGACATTGTGAGACATTACATACAAATAAACACGAAACTTTTGAAACATGTAATATGCTGTAACAATTAGTCAAAGTGCCACACCAAATGACAGGGAATTATCCCAACACAACTGTAAGCTTCACCTTAAGATGTGTGATGACTTCTCTGGTCTCTCTCAGGGCCCCTACAAGCTGACTGTTGGACTTGACCAGCTCCTCATTGCGGGCAAGCACAATCTTGACCAAGGACTCTTGGGAGTAGGCCAGGGAACGGATTTTGGCATCCATGTGCTCTGGGCTTGGTCTGATGTGACGGCCAGCCTGTCCAAGAGTATGAAACATTGTACGTTGTTAACTCACCAACTGAATTCTTAGGATTTTAGGATTCCAAGGTAGTCAAACATGACCGCCATGGAGGAGGCTCAATCATAACTTGGGGTAGGATCAGTAGAGGTGGAAGAACCGATCTCCATGTCCTACAGCAGAGCACAATGACAGGTGTGCGCTTCAGGGATGATATTTTGGATGTGTAAGTGAGACTGTATGCTGGAGCAATTGGACTGGACTTCCTCCTCATGGACGTCAATGCATGATCTCATCGTGCCAGTGTCGTTAATGCCATCTTAGAGCAGCAAACCATTTTGACAAGTGATCTGACCGACTGCAATACTGTATGACACATAAAAAACGTCAATAGCTTACCTTCCACTCATCATTCTCAAAATAAGTCGACGTAGCTCTCTTCTCAAACATGATGCTTTCTTCCTCAGAATCGTCATCTTCTTCTTCTTTCTCCTCTGTCACAGGGACATCCTGGCTTTTGGACACAATTGCCGAGTTGTTGGTATTCTTGGCTTGGGATACAAGCAGTACATCAGTTCCTCTTTTAGACAATTCTTCAGGTGACAGATAAACTGTTTTAATCAAGGGTGCAGCAAAATGGTCACAGTGAGTTTGGTTTATTAAGAATCTTAGAATATCAAATGACACAAATACACTATATGTATTAATCTTTGGTTGAACAAGAATAACACCATTCTATACGACTGAGAAAATGTTAAACAGCTATGAAAAATGATCATCCAGAAGGTTTAGATTTAATTACTTTGGTTCATTGGGTAAGAGGTAGCACCCTGACACAAAGTCTTACCAGATTCCCTTGCCCTGACCAGCTCCTGAACCTCCTCAAACTTCTTCTTGAACTGTCTGGCCAGCTCCTCTGTCTGCAACACAAGACTCACTCACATGAGATGACGACATACACAGTCAATCCTAAACAAGAACCAGGAGATGACATATCTTCTCCATTCTGGTGCAATTCAGAAATGGAGTTTGGCTACTTATACCCCACTTTTGGTACATTGCCATTGGTTACCTTCAGTTCTGTGAAGAAAAAAAACATTGTTGTTCTGTATTTTTCAGTATCCCAAATTATCAAAAGGCACCAGTTCACAATTATACTGGTCTGTAAAGCACGTTTCATCTGGAAATATCCAACGGTTTTGGAGTTTTGCACCGGAAATGAGCACTACTCTCGTGAGTAGTGTCGTGAAAAAAAAATAAGCTCCCAAATCATCAAACAGCAGCAGTACACCACTAGACTGACCTGCATAGCAAGTTTCGACAAGAAATATTCAACACTTTAGGAATTCAGCTCAAGAAACGGAAAACAGATGGATGACAGACGGACAGACATGTTGATCGTTATATCCCCTAGTTTTTTTCATAACGGGAGATGGAAAACAGTGGATGTACAAGAAATAATTGTCTATAGGGCTTTTCATACAAACCCATCATAGAATATTCTAGCGGGAGCCCAGGACGTTTGTCACAGACAGGATTTGTTTTCCATTACTTCAAAACGTGCATTACTTTCCGGAAGAGCCAAACAATCTAATCCAATTTGTGCAGCATACAAATTAATTTTGTTGGTAAATCCTGAGGATAGATCATCCCTCCACCCCCAAAAGCTTAAATTCTTTCTTAACTGAAATATAGATGCAAACTGACGTCTCAAAAAGTAATGCTGCTCAAGACATGTCTGTTATTTCAGTGGTGACTGACCTTGAACCTGAGGGCAAACTGTTCAACCTTGGCCTCGTTCTCAGCATAGTCTTGAGCAGTCCAGCACCAGGCTGTCTCTGACGTTGACATGGGAGACAGAGTCATATTGCCAGCTATCAGATGATTACATGCTACTTTGTGTACTTGATCTCGCCTCATCAGCAATCGGTATTTATCTACAAGGACAGAAAGCAGAATGGAAAACATATATAAAAGTTTTATCATTTTATTGATCTAACAACATTGTTGAGACAGAAGAACTGAACAACACATTTTCAAAAAGTCTACTGTTGTTTAATATTACAGTACTAGTTTCAGTGGAACAGTAGACTAAACTTTGAACCCTGCCCTCATCGAGGCTTATGCCGAGCATGTTTATCATATCAAAAGGTTCTCTGTTGGTTGTTTAAAACAATATGATGGTGGCCTGTAAGAGTCTAGTCTAGATGAAATATGCCAATACCCGAGATGCCAGACTCAGTATCTTGTTTGAGGATCTTCATGTCTCCCACAGCTCTCTCCTTCCACTGGTTGGAATCCCGCACAAATCGGAACAGCTTCGATCTCTGGCAGTACACCACCTCCCAACCTTCTTCCCCTGCAAGGACATTTACATCTATATCACATATGCAGACAAGCTATGCCAAAAACAAAACAATAACTCACACAAAAAAGACATTATATGAACAGGAAAGTACAATTTGGCCTTGAACTCACCGGTTTTGACTTCAACTAGTTCTGGAAGGTCAATGATGGGCTTAAAGTCAATGTCATCACTCTGCACAACCTCATCATCATCAACATTGGTCCTGTTGCCTCCTGGGGAAGTCCCAAAGATCTGCTGACCTGCTCCTGACCACTGGAATGGTCGGTTCTCATCTGCCAGAGAAAACATAGAATGTCAGGCCAAGCGCTATGCTCAATAACCTGGGAAGGGACTTCACTAAGATTCCAAACAAAGGGCATCTGGCAAGCAAAATGGAGAAAGAACTTATTTTGTTCAAAATTGTGATATTGTTTTTAAAGTACCATTCTTCTTCAATTTAGAGTTTTTTTAACATTGTATATCAACATTGCATTTAATACTGTGAACTAAGCATTAAGCCTCTTCCTCGTTATTGATCCTGCTATGAGTGAAATACATTTGACCAAGTGATCACATTAGAATCTAGATGTAACTATATATTGACATCAATTAAGAGCATCCTAATTCCAATTTGGGAAATTTAGACATTTGCTTCAGACGTAGGGCAGAATAATGCTGGGAATTACATTTGTGGTTGAACAGGCGGCAAACAATTCTAGGACTGATGATGGTAACTGTCTACTTGCCTTTCTTAAAAGCATAACCAACTGCATCTCCCTGTGCAGCTAGTGTAGAAAAGGACATGCCTGAAGCCTGACCGAACATGCAGAACCCTTCACTGGCACCAGTACTGCCTGCAACACCTCATGGTCAATAAGTCATTAATGCAAACATCATTGCCTTTGGTGTTTGGACCATGACAATCCAGTGATTGATTTTGTGAGCAACAGTCAATGCAGTTAACACCAAGTCAAAGAATATGACCACCCAATCCGTTAAGTTGCCTCTTATGACCAGCATAGATTGCTGGGGAATTCCAACCAGTAGTCACCACAGGGATATTTGTGAATTAAAGGAACATAAAATAGGAGCATGTAACAGAAGCTCTTCCCTGTCACCATCCAATTACTCTCATTACTTACTGCCCCCAAATCCTATCTTGTATCAGTTTCACAATGGTTGGCTATTCAGTGTTAGAATTAAACGGGGACCCTGGGGTCTCTATTTAGTTTTGTATTAACATGATGGTTATGATAAGGACCCACTGACTTGCATGCTTGATTCTGACACTTATATTGATACCTCAACAAAGCTCCAGACGACTATCAAGACTGATTACTTCATGGAAGTGTAAATAATATAAACCAAAATCACTTACTACCAGCACTGCTTGAAACTTGAACTGAAGCTATTGTTGGTGCAGGACTTGTCTCCTCAGATTTTGCTGTAATGATAAACAAACCTAAATAAACTTTGGAATAAAGAAATTACATTGACCAATGTGAGATTTCAGAAAAAAAGAAGCTAGCCATTACACTTATTTTATATTCTTGTTAGAGAACCATAGTTTCGTCCTTTTAGACATAACCTCATGAAGACTGTTAATAATACTCACATTTGGCTTTGACCTTGCTGGGCACGCTGACTTTACTGGGGTCATAGTCCTCACAGCCAATACAGCCTGGACAAGGGGGTTTGTTTTCATAGAGGTAGAAGGACTCGGGCAACAGGTACTTCCTGGCTCTGGCCTTCTGTTCCTCTGTAGCCTCCTCCACATACAGGAACTCCACACCTGAAGTGTCTAAGGGACACAGAACCAAGCGTCAGAAACAAGGAAGTAGAGCAGGCATCTCATGGGTAAAGTGCCTTTTAGAAATCAGTGGGTGAAATCAGTTTTTCAGAACTGTTGGGTCAAAAATGAACAATGGTGGGTTTTTTCTTTTTCACAAAGGGTCCAAAGGTTACTTCTCCTATATAAACGTACCTTGAAGTCTATTTCATGACTAAATTAGTTGGAAGTTCCCGGTTTTTTCTGAATGTAACATTAACCAAAATAAAATAGCAACAATCCGTAAATACTTGGGACAATTCATAATCCAATAAACAACCTCACACAGTGCCACTCCTGGAGGGGCATATCTTAGAAAAGTAAAATGTGGAGGCAGGTGCCACAACTTCGAAACATCACATTTAATATGTAGTATAGGTGTGAGCACCAGACCTACTGGCCTGGTTCCCACAATGGGAACCACTACACCAACACCCGAGTAGTTTTCTACATGCAGCCGGCAAACTGCACAGGGCGAGTGTATAGCACCAGTAATTATCAGATTCTAATCCTGTTGAGAAAAGATGCAAAAGTCCAAAAGCATAAATTATCATGCTTTGCTACATACACTGATCCGGCATTAAAAACACAATTCCAATAATCCCCATAATATATTTCCATATTTCATAAAGAGGGCTAGGTTTGTGCTCAAAAGTTGATATTGTTGTAATAACAACATTGTGTTTTTAATGCTGGCTATACACTTATATTGATACCTCAACAAAGTTCCAGACGACTATCAAGACTGATTACTTCATGGAAGTGTAAATAATGTAAACCAAAATCACTTACTACCAGCACTGCTTGAAACTTGAACTGAAGCTATTGTTGGTGCAGGACTTGTCTCCTCAGATTTTGCTGTAATGATAAACGAACCTAAATAAACTTTGGAATAAAGAAATTAAATTGACCAATGTGAGATTTCAGAAAAAAAGAAGCTAGCCATTACACTTATTTTATATTCTTGTTAGAGAACCATAGTTTCGTCCTTTTAGACATAACCTCATGAAGACTGTTAATAAAACTCACATTTGGCTTTGACCTTGCTGGGCACGCTGACTTTACTGGGGTCATAGTCCTCACAGCCAATACAGCCTGGACAAGGGGGTTTGTTTTCATAGAGGTAGAAGGACTCGGGCAACAGGTACTTCCTGGCTCTGGCCTTCTGTTCCTCTGTAGCCTCCTCCACATACAGGAACTCCACACCTGAAGTGTCCAAGGGACACAGAACCAAGTGTCAGAAACAAGGAAGTAGAGCGGGCATCTCATGGGTAAGTGCCTTTTAGAAATCAGTTGGTGAAATCAGTTTTTCAGAACTGTTGGGTCAAAAATGAACAATGGTGGGTTTTTTCTTTTTCACAAAGGGTCCAAAGGTTACTTCTCCTATATAAACGTACCTTGAAGTCTATTTCATGACTAAATTAGTTGGATGTTGCTGGGTTTTTTCTGAATGTAACATTAACCAAAATAAAATAGCAACAATCCGTAAATACTTGGGACAATTCATAATCCAATAAACAACCTCACACAGTGCCACTCCTGGAGGGGCATATCTTAGAAAAGTAAAATGTGGAGGCAGGTGCCACAACTTCGAAACATCACATTTAATATGTAGTATAGGTGTGAGCACCAGACCTACTGGCCTGGTTCCCACAGTGGGAACCACTACACCAACACCCGAGTAGTTTTCTACATGCAGCCGGCATACTGCACAGGGCGAGTGTAAAGCATCAGTGATTATCAGATTCTAATCCTGTTGAGAAAAGATGCAAAAGTCCAAAAGCATAAATTATCATGCTTTGCTACATACACTGATCCGGCATTAAAAACACAATTCCAATAATCCCCATAATATATTTCCATATTTCATAAAGAGGGCTAGGTTTGTGCTCAAAAGTTGATATTGTGTAATAACAATATTGTGTTTGTAATGCTGGCTATACACTTATATTGATACCTCAACAAAGTTCCAGACGACTATCAAGACTGATTACTTCATGGAAGTGTAAATAATATAAACCAAAACCACTTACTACCAGCACTGCTTGAAACTTGAACTGAAGCTATTGTTGGTGCAGGACTTGTCTCCTCAGATTTTGCTGTAATGATAAACGAACCTAAATAAACTTTGGAATAAAGAAATTAAATTGACCAATGTGAGATTTCAGAAAAAAAGAAGCTAGCCATTACACTTATTTTATATTCTTGTTAGAGAACCATATTTTCGTCCTTTTAGACATAACCTCGTGAAGACTGTTAATAAAACTCACATTTGGCTTTGACCTTGCTGGGCACGCTGACTTTACTGGGGTCATAGTCCTCACAGCCAATACAGCCTGGACAAGGGGGTTTGTTTTCATAGAGGTAGAAGGACTCGGGCAACAGGTACTTCCTGGCTCTGGCCTTCTGTTCCTCTGTAGCCTCCTCCACATACAGGAACTCCACACCTGAAGTGTCTAAGGGACACAGAACCAAGCGTCAGAAACAAGAATCATAGGGCTCACAGCCACTTCGCACTACTACACTGTCAAACTTCACTACTTCACTACCGGTTGTAATGTGTTCCAAATTCGTTCATTATTATCCAACTATATAACAAATATTACTAGAAACTAAAATATCTTTCAATTTTGGAAATTCAAGTTATTTCCAAGTACCCCCGAGTCTAATGTACTTGCAAACACATATGGTTTATGTTGTGGGTTGAGGTCAAGCGTAGACAATTAAGTTTATATAATCAGTTTTAGGCCAATGACAACTACTTTAAGTCACAAACTTGTTAAGCACTTGCGTTTTCATGGTCCTTATATCAGTTATGACCTGCT